CTATTAATCGTGTAATAATCTTCGGAAATTGAAAATTATTTTGAAAATTAAATTTTGGTTGGCTAAAAAGTTTTTTTTTTGGAATAATTGATGTTTTTGTGATAAAAAATTCGTCATTTAATAATGGAAGTATTTACTGTCCCTGACCCGGGTCTTATACTTTTTACCTTTCATTGAATCCAAGTAACAGGCCCGGGTCTACTAGAAGGGGGTCTTCTAAAGGGGGTGGTTTATGCGGCAATTTACGGTATCTGTTTTATAACTTTCTTCGGAGAACTGTAACGAACCATTTAATTACTTATTTGGAATCGTATCGTTGGATAAATCAATAATATAATTGAGGTAGATGATACACATTCTTCTTCAGATTTAATTTTGTAATCCGATTTTGGGTCAAAATCCCGAACAGACAGATTATCGAAAGAACATAACACCGACTAAATTGGCCAGAATTATAGCTAGTGCCGGCTAACTTTGTCGGTATTGTGTTCTTTCGGGGATCCGTTTTTCTGGATTTTGACCCAAATTCGTGTAATCCATGATTTCCACTGATTTAATTGTATTTGAATGTGGTGATATAGTATTTTTTTTTTCTTTTTTGAAAGTTCTTTCTTCAATAATACAAAGTGATTGGTTATGTTAATTCAATTGTTTGAATATCTCTCGAAGAAAAATGCGTTAATTTGTTTAATTCATAAACTCTTAATATTTAGCAAGTTAGTGATCGATTTTATCATCATAGCATAAAAGCTAGTAATTGATAGTGATTAACTAAGATGTCACTGATTCGTTTAGACCTAAATCTTAAAGCTTAAAATATCACAACACTGACTTTGTGGATGAAGAAAGTTTGAAAGGCCTGTCGTGTTACCAATTTCTTATATATGCCGTAGGCGGGAATGGAACTTGAGTGGTTTAGACTTCTCTTAATTAAATTTAGAATTTAACGACTTAATGATGGAAATAATTAAGGTTAAGGTTAGAATTAGATTTAGATTCACGATAAGAGTTAGGGTTAGGGTTATAGGTGCATATTTATTGTTGTAATTTATTTGCAATATAATAAGTTTGTTCAACTGGTTTTTTTTAAATATAAAGCGCGACTGAATGAAACCTGCATCATTAGTTAGGTTATATAAAGTAATTCTACCAATAAACACTAAATAGTTCCAAATCCACTTAAACACCGTCCTCATTTACGGCATGTATGTACAAGTACGTACGTACCTTTATAATAAAAATTTCTTGCTTCCTAACAGTTTCAGTGCCTTCACACGCTCTTGAACTTTCGCTTCATCATTTAAAAATCCAGGACATTCCATGCTGCGAACCATTATCAAAATATTTTGATCAGTATTTGAAGGCAAAGATAAGATTTCATATTTATATTAAAAGTAGTCAACCAGCTGCGTATATTATTGGCTCGAGTCGTCAAGTCAATAAACAGCACTTAACTAATTATCTCACACTTTCTATTGGTTGGAATTATTTGTAATCATTTACCATTTACCAGTATCATCTTTTTAAAATGTGATATTTTAGTTAGGATTGCCAAACTCGGTTTCGAACCCAACTCCAAACATATTTCGACAAAGTCCAGGTACGATTTTTTCGCGTCGTTTGTTCCAATTCGATTAGAAAGGCATTTATGTGATTGGTTAATTTACAGTATTGAATATCCTGGCTAATAATAAATTTATGTATACATTATTGGGCAAAAAACTATCGAATAAAGTATAATTAAAAGGCAATTTCTATTTGTACATGAGGGTGTACTGTACGTACATGGGTAATATAAAAGCCAATCGATATCTCAAAATTCGATTATGAAACCACCTTTTAGCTTCTAACAAAAAAATTCTGTGAAATTTTGATATAAACTATATATCGCTCCAATCCCAAACCCACCATTACTCTAACCATAGAAATTGTTTTGCAAATTAACTGTTAATAACCGCGTACCATACACTACGCGTATAATTATAAATTTCATTATTAAATATTTTTAATTAAAGTTTTAAAAATAAATAACTTATGTAATTATATTAATACAAAGCTTTTAGTATATAAAACATATTTATTTCTCACTCGGGATGATTTTTGATATTCTCATTTACATTATAAGATTTTAGAATTTTACTAATAAAACCACCTTCAAGGTTCTAACAAAAATAATCCTTACGCAATTTTACTCTAACCTTAACCCTAACTCTAACCTATTAGTGGTTTGCTGTAAATTGTTTTTTAAGAGGAGATCAGAGTGAGGAATAAATTGTTTCTATTAAAAATTTAGCTATTAAAAAAATAATTAGTATAAAATGTTTTAATAAAATAATTAAAATAAGCTGGTAAAATAATGATATAAATCTAAATTAGCAATTAAATCTAAATATGTAAGCATATAAATATAACACTATTAAATTTATTTTAATAAATTTAATTTTATATTATTAAAAGCTAATTATATATTGAGTTTTATTTAAAAAAACATATCGTATACTTCCCGAAATTAAGCTCCCCTCTATCCTGTTTTTTTAAATGTCAGATTAGTGGAAATCATATTGAAATCTTTAGCCAAGTTATTCCCGCTAATCTGATATTTGAAAATGGTTAAATTTCGAAAGTATACGGTACGTAATATTCTACAGTAATTTAAATTAAAATTTACAAAACATCAAATTAAATACAGTATTTAAAAAATTATTAAGTTCGAAAAAGCAAACTATGCCCAACTTAGTACGCATATACTACGTATATAGAATAAAATTAATTAAATCTTATCGTTATACGTACAAAAGAAATTTTTAAAATCTTACATCAAAATTCGACATGCTCACCTATTGGTTTGATCACATGTCAGTAACTTCAGTAACCAGTATATAACTAGCAATATGTATCCACACCCACCCAAACAATAATCATTTAGAAATAGATAAGTACGTACATATATTTTTGAAATTGATTGTGAAAGGTGTGTAACAAAATGCGCTAAGCTCATGATGTACACGTACGATCGTCTAGATAACAAAAAAAAATTAAAATCACTGCATAGGGAGTGAGTCAAGCGTTACTTGGACATGTAACATGGTCTATTCCACATTAGTACTACTGAAAGAGACAATTTCAAACTATAATTGCAAAGTGTAATGCTGGGCACAACGAATAACGGTATGCTTTATTTAATAAGGCTTCATCACAAGAACTCCAAGTGTTACTCCTGAACAGCTTAAGCGAAAATTGTCATCTACAAATTTTATATTTTTTCTTTGATAAATATTATTAGCTTGTAACGAAAAATAACACAATTTTGTCTGTATGATCATTAACATCTTTTCTAATAACCCTTGTATAACAAATAAGTAATGCAACAAAAATTTGATAAATACTTATGAAGTTTAGGTTTGAATTTAAATTTATTAAATTACAAAACTTATATATTAAATGCATAAATAATTCATATTCAAAATGGGTGTTAACAGCTTTTTTCAGTTTTTCCTGCTATTATTTTTTACAAATTACTGCATTGTATTTTTTCTATGATTTGATAACAATCCGATTCCGGAGAAGTTGACACAGCCCTAAACTCATTTTGGTTCAATTTGATTACAAAGTCATCTGCATTAGATACTGATTGTAGCACCTAGATGTTGGATACTTGATCTCGGATGAATATTCAATTATGCCCGGCTAGAAGTTGCAAAAAAAAAAAAAAGAAAAAAGAAAAAGAAAAACTAACACCCAGTAAATTATCTACAACCCAACAATGATCTACTTAGAGAGCTGTCGGATGATTGCGCGAACCCTTAATGTGAACAAAGAAACATTAATTAACCTGATACAATGGCTTCATACACATTGTGTATTTGTGCGATCTATACCTCTATATTCAAGTAATCTAGCCTTTTTATTCGATACCCCCTCAATTTGGGAAGATTGATCTTCTAGAGACACATGTAACGACAGTCTAAATCTACTTAAACTTAAAGGCATAATAATATTTATATAAATCGGTAAAAAAAAAAAAAAAAAAAAACTAAAATAGTCCTGTATCCAAATATTCAAAAAAAAATAAAAACAACAAAAACAAAACGAAAATATCCAAGAATTATCAACTAACAAATGGCCGAACGTAGAAAAGAGGAATTAAAGAAAAAAAAGGAAAAACTTGCGGAGCTTAAGAGAGCTAGAGAGGAGCGAAAGAGTACTCCTCCGGCACCGGCACCGGCAGAATCACAGAAGGAAAAAGTAAGTGCTTTTTTTTTGAAATTGTTAGTTCGATTGATTTTTGATCATGTAAACTTTATCTATTTCCTTTAAATAAAGACGAAAAAAGATGAATTGGATGCCCTTCTCTTGGAATTGCTGCCAAAGCAGGAACCTAAAGTAGAAGCACCAGAAAAAGTACCTGAAAATGAAATACCAACAACTCCTGATCCAACATGCATAATAGACACTAAAGCAGCATCTAATATTATTCCTCAAAACATTATAACTTCTAGGTAACTCCCTTTGGATTGTTTCGATTTTTTTTTTTCATATTTAGTTAATTTGTATTTTTTTTTATTTTTATTATTTTTATTTTATTTTATTTTATTTATTTTTTATTTTATTTTATTTTATTTTATTTTTTTTTTATTTTATTTTATTTTATTTTTTTTAACTTACAGTGGTCCGGCAACACCTACTTTATCGTCACGATTCATTCCAGACTTCACTACTTTTGAAGCGGTTATATTAGATGTTCCTCCAAAGGTGAGCGAATGAATAAAATTTTGATAAAAATTTGTAATTCTGACAAATATAATTTCAATTCGGGTATTAACAACATGGTTCATGACATCTGTTAGGAAATTGTACATTATAATAAAGAAGTTCAAACTGCCGCTACGTCTTTCGAAGCGCCACCACCTTCTGAAGATGAAATTCGTGAAAAGGTGCGAATGGAATTTGAAGAACAACAAAAAGCAAAAGAAGCTGCTGCTGCAGAGCAACGTGCTAGGCAGGAAGCTGAAAAGAAAAAAGAATTAAAACTTTTAGGTAAATTTAATATCAATTTTATGTTCATTCTATTTGTGTCGTAAAATATTTGCTAATTATATCTATATTTCAACGACTTAGAATTATCTGATGAAGAAATGAAGAATATTCTCAACTCTTCAGAGTTTCATGAATTCGTTACACATTCTACCAAAATGGTAGAAAGAATGTTAACTGATAATTTTTATGATCACATGAAAGATTACACATTCAATGCGGCAGCAGAGAGGTTAATTTTTCCCTCCAAGAAATTGTTTCACTTTTACTGCGTAATCATATCAATAAATTATAATCATTTATTATAGAGATGAAAATGAAGGTGCACGCGTCAGATATTTATTTTCATTTTTTGATGATCGGTGGAGTAAAAATCGATTCGTTACTGATGTGAATTGGTCACATAAGGTATATTCAATTTTTCGTTAGTTTCGATATTTGACATCCTGACCTAATTTGTTTTAAATTTTAATTGCAGAATCCTGAATTATGTGTTGCATCATATAACAAGAATCCTTATAATATGAATGACCCAGACGGTGTTGTTTTAATATGGAACTTGAGATTGATAGGACGACCGGAATTCGTTTTTCATTCTCAAGTATGTGTTTTAAACATATCAATTTTGTTGAAAAATAAATACACATCATAAATATTAATGTAATTTTAGTCTGATGTTTTGACAACAATGTTTTCCGAATTTCACCCGAGTGCTGTGCTTGGCGGAACTTATTCGGGACAAATATTACTTTGGGATATGAGAGCAAAAAGTCTACCTGTTCTAAAAACTCCACTTTCAACTGCCGGTCACACCCATCCAGTTTACTCGATGCAGATGGTGGGTACACAAAACGCTCACAACCTTATCACTGCAAGTACAGACGGCACGGTGTGCTCTTGGCAGCTGGAAACACTACTTCAACCAACGGTAATTACATTATTGATATGTTAACATCTTATTCTTTATCTTTAGTCTTTATCTGAATTTTTTTTTTTTTTTTTTTTAATTCATTTAGGAAACTTTAGAATTAGTTCATTCAGGGCACAACAAAACTGATGAAGTCTCTGTTACATCTTTTGGTTTCCCAGAAAATGAGACATCAACATTCTGGGTTGGAACGGAAGAAGGCAATGTCTACCAGGCGAATCGATTTGGACATGCCGGCGGGTATGTCCTTTATTCTTTTCGAATCAATAATTCTTATAATAATTTCTTATAATAACAATTAATCTCTTAAATAAACTTCAGTAAAGCTGGCATCAATCAATACGACTCTTATAAAGGACATTGGGGCCCAGTAACTGGACTTCATTTCCATCCTTTAGTCGGACCTGTAGATTTCTCTGATCTATTTTTAACTTCTTCAGTGGACTGGACCGTGAAACTATGGAAAGCTAAATCGGTTTCGAAACCATCTGCATCAGCACAAACAATTTCTCCATTATACAGTTTTGAAGGATCGGACGATTATATTTACGATGTTAAATGGTCACCTACTAATCCAGCACTTTTTGGTTCGGTCGATGGTAAAGGAAACTTTGCAGTTTGGAATTTGAACGAAGATACTGAGGTGAATAATACTTTCTCAAAGATTTCCAGTAAATAAATTCGTATATTCTAACGTTAGTCAATTGATTGTATATTTTTAGATACCAGCTGTAAATACTCAAGTCGGTAATGGTCGTGCATTGAACAAACTCCAATGGGATAAGGAAGGAAGAAGAGTAGCTATTGGATCATCAGATGGACGTGTTCACGTTTATGATGTTGGAGAGGTATTTATTTTTATTTGATTAATCTAAACAAAATTTTATAAACATGCTAATAATATCAATTATTATTATTAAGTTATGTAATCCAAGGGAAGATGAGTGGATTAAAATGCAAAAAACACTTTCAGAAATGAATGAATCTGGAGAAATGATCGGGAAAATGAACACAAAATAATTTAATATTTGCAATATACTGTAGTTAAAAGATTTTCAGTAGAGGGAAATGGGTTTAAATTGAGTGCACATAAGTTTTTATTTATTAAACAAATTTTGAAAATTTGAAAGTGCTTTTCGCATAACTATATTAAAAACTGTTGAAATTCATGAATATCTCGAGCAACCCTCGAGTAAGTACTACCTGAAGTTCCAATAAATACTCCGACACTAGATGCAATTAATAAATCAGTAAAGGGTGTAAAAAAATTATATAAATTGTAATTATCAAAATCATTATACAAATCATGCAAAGGCTCTGAATATTTCTTACGTCTGACAATGTAAAGATACAAGAATTAAATTTCGAATAAATCTTTTGAAAATTTTTTTCAGGATCCTCGCTATATAGATCACGGGAAATTCTTGCTTTTTAAACACTTTGAATTTAACGAAGTCTTTGAATTGCGTAATAGATAATGACTACCCTTCATAATATATGGATATTTCCTTTGATCCTTCATAGGGATTCTTCCACCTCCTTAATTAATAGGCTTAATATCGAATCATCAAGCTGATCTCCAAAAAGTTCAGAATTAAAACGTTCATCGCCAACCCTTAGATGAACACTGATAAAGCTTTTTCGTCCACCTAATTCTTCAACTATTTTTCTAACACATTCTTTCAATATCGGATGTCCAAATCTAAAATTAGTATGTAATCCATAATATAACTCAATATTTTTTGGTTTCTCTAAAACAATCTTTCTGCTACCAAATGTGGTTCCTAAGTGTATTAAAGTTTCTGGGCGAGATGTTAAATTTGAAATGAAATACAAGTCACTTTCTTTATAGTGAAATCCTCGGGCTGTAAAAATTTCTTCACTATATTGAGAGATTCACTATATTGAGAGCCTTTTAATATAGTAAAGACAATAATCAAATATAATATATAAAAAAATCCGTCAATTTAATTAGTTAATAAAATACTATATAATAAAATCTTCACTATAGCTTATATCGAGAGTTTACTATATTCTGTTCTAAAAAAATTCATCACTATAAGCCAATCTTCACTATATCGAAGGCTCACTATAATGATATTGAAGCCCTAAATCAATATTTGTATCATCTGTATCAAAATATTGAAATTTATAACGATCATTTTCAAAAAAATAATAAACGTCTTTTTTAGTAGTTATGTTGAGAAATTTTTTTAGTACATAACCACTGATTAATTACTCGAACGTGTTTTTCTACAAATGTAAAATCAAATAGATAATCCCAATTCATCATTGAAAATGAATCTAATTTTTCTTGCAAAATTTTATACGATGAGTAGAACATGATATAATCTAGCTTCCTTTATTAGTACTGATAGGTTAAATCTTTCATAAAGCTCTTTTTTGCTATAAGCAAATCTACTAATAATTATTGGTGGAATCTGTTTGTGATATAAGCCAATATTATAGAATTTCTTAAAGAAATGAATTGATTGCTAAATCCGCTATGAGGAAGGTATGTTAAAAATTTTTCTCCTGAAAATTTTCGATCTATGCTATCTAAATTATTAATGCTTGTTATATTCTTCAAGTAATTAACGTTGGTTATATCTTTTAAGCTATCATTGTTAGTTATATTCTCTATATTTTCAACGCCCACTTTATCATCATCTTTAGTGTTGTTTATATTTTCTAAATCTCAAAATTGGGTATATTCTCTAAATTAACATCGGTTATATTCTCTAAATTAGCATCGTTTATGTTCTCTAAATTAGTGATATTAATAATATTTTGTTTGATAAAGGGTTCTGATGAAGATAATAAATTTACAATTATAAAATTTATTGTGTAAATAATTAAAATGCAAAAAATTCATGAGCAGGCGAGGGCAGGTTTTTTTCGATATAAAAGAATGAAGATTTCTATATGCTCCGCTTACTATCATATTTTAAAATTAATTAGAAATGGAAAATTAGCTCCTATTGCTTAAATATACGATACAATTAATTTATGTAACAGAAATTTCTGTGTTTGTAAAATAAATTGGATTTTTTGAAACGAGACTTTTCTTTATAAAGGCAAATATTACGATTAATGAGAGCCATGAGAGCCAATTAGTAACGGAACATATCGACACTTAACTTCTTTGTTGAAAAAAACAAACTTTATTTTTTGTTCGATATGTACGCACGTACATACTCTAGGGATATGGAATTTATACGACTTATAAATTACGCGTGCGGTATATGTTATTTACACGGATCCTAATTATTCACCCATAACTTTTTTACTGATATTTTCACGGCGGACTTTAAACCTTTTTTTGTCGGTTTTTTAGATTGTATCGTGGAAATTGTATAAGGAAGTTTGTTTGTTAATTATTGTCGCGGCTGATGCTGAAATTTTGACTTATTTTATTATGAAATTTAAAAAATTTTCGGGCCTTTTTCGTTAGGGTTTTTTTTTAGTGTTAGGTTAGGGTTTGAGGGTAGATTTATTAGTAAAAAAGTATATGTGAATTTTAGTAGGTATTATAGATTTAAATTGGGACCCTATATTTCAGCATCAGCCGCGACAATTATTTATAATGAGACGATTCTAACGAGCTCAAAATCGTTAAAATCCAATCATCGTTAAGGATTTGTGTCATTTCGGAAATTCAGGTTTCGGGGAATTGGTTGTGTCGGGAATAAAAATTTCTATCAGTAAAATATATGTCAGAAATATGTCTTATCGGGAATTATGGGGTCGAGGAAATGGTATTTCGGGAAAGTAGGTTTCGAGAAAGTGTTGGTGGTGGTTTACAGCTGTTTTCATAAATTCTGGGACATCTAAAAAAATTTGCCGATGATAATTTCGGCCGATTCGATAAGTTATTGATTTCGGAAATAATAGATGACTACATACATACTTGTGCACTTATTCTTTTCGGCGAAATCTCATTTTTAAAAAATTGTGTAAAATTTCAATTCCTATTAATTATTTTTCGACGAAAATTCGGGTTTAAAAATTGTGTAAAATTTCAGTTCCTATTCTTTGGCAAGTTCCATTTTCATTCAAACGAAGCCTATTCATTTCTAATTAATTTTCGACAAAATTTTGGTTTTAAAAATTGTGTAAAATTTCAATTCCTATTCTTTGACAAGATCCATTTTCGTTCAAACGAAGCCTTTATTTTTTGACGAAAATTAGTTTTTAAAAAATTGTATAAGACTTCAATTCCTATTCTTCATTTTCGTTCAAACGAAGGCATTTATTCATTTCTAATTATTTTTCGTTTCTTGTCGAAGACGAAAAATTCGTTTTTAAAAAACTAACCTAAATTTCGATTCCTATTCTTTGGCAAGATACATTTTCGTTCAAACCCAATTATTTTTCTTGGAAACTCCGAAGGACTTTCGGAGCAAATGTTTGTTTTTATCAATCAACCAATCAACCCCTTAATTTGCGGACCCAGATCACTATGACTCCCTTGGGACAATAAATATAAACAAATTTTTTTATTGATTTCGTTCATCATAATTCTTCATGTATTCTTTGCAAAAAGATGTGAACATATGATTTTAGTGATGGTGGTGATGGCTGATAATCACTAAGATTCCAGATTATCTGTTACTTTATATTTTCGATTGGTTACGTTTATATTTCTTTGAAATCAGTTTAATTCTTAAAATCTCAAAAAATCTCCGATTCTCACATGAAAAATTTTGCAAAGCACAATAATAACATCTTGGTCGCAATCCTAACCCGAGATTCAGTTTTAAACCAGTCGACAAATTCATGATCATATTTAACTTTTTTAATAACGGCACCTATCGAGCAATATATTTATTATAAAGTCTAGTTTATATTCGATTCCTTTTTAAGGTTTATTGGTTGACATGAACGAGTTTTTCCATAAATTTTCGTACAAACTAAGCACACCAAACATGTTGGACAAGCATTCGAACGAAAATTTAAAATCGTTGACATTATTGTTATGACGATCGTAAAATGATCATTATGATACAAAAATAGCTTTTATTAATTATTTTATTTTACGAATCATGCCGAATCAATAACTTAACTGGATCGGCCGAAGAATCATTCGGCAAATTTTTACAGGTGTCCCAGAAATTATGATAATAGCTGTAAATTCGCTGCCAGATAAAAGTTATCGGCTGCGTAGCGTTCAATAACGGTAATATCCGGTAACTTTGGTGATGATTGCGTCATCATCATATAACGAAGTTATTTGATGATAATCATAATCAAAATAATGCGAGTTATTCTGTTGGTACAATCATAATAGGTTGCCGGATAAAAAAGTTAAGTTTTTTTAAAGCAAACGTTTTGCTACAATTAATATTTAAAATTATTGTAAAGGCTGAAGTCGAAGTTCTGGGGTCTTTATTTAAACCTATAAAACCTATTAAATATATATATATATTTATTAACAATTCTAATTTTTTTTTTTTATTATGAACTAGTTGTAAACCCGTGCAATAATGCACGGGAATAAATATATTTAATATATTATAAAAATAATTGATATTTTTTAATATAATTATTAATATATAAGCTAGGTGCAATATAAAAGATAAAAATTAACAAACCAAAAGATCCTTGAAAAATTAATTTTTATATTATAAATTTTATAATAAGTTATAATAAAATACAAATTTTAAAGAACTAAATTACAAAATTTTATTTATATAACTGTTTTTGTGTCTTAAATAAAAATAGTTCTAATCTTTGTATAAAAAAAAATTTTTTGAAAATTTGTTGATTTCTCTCTTTTCTATAGCACTTAGCTATATATAGTATTACAGTATATATAAAATTAAGTTTATCTAAATTAATTTAATTTTGCAATATATTAGATTAATTTATTATATATATACTAAAATTAATTAAATTTTGAAATAAAATTTATATATATATATAGTATATATGCTTTTTAATTTTATATTCTAATTTGTACTATTATTACAATTATTTTTGCTATATAGATATTTTACAATTTATAATAATATTTGATATTTTGTAATACTTTGTTTATTAAATTTGGCAATAGCTATAAAATATATAAAAAAAATATTTTAAAGAATTATAGCTATTTTCAAAATAGTTAAGAGTACAGTATAAAAAAATTTTTTTAATATTCAATTAGTTTAAATAAATCAAATATTTAGGCCTACATTACATAATTGTTTACTAATTTCTGGCTGTTATTAACTTTTGATTTTTTTATCACAAAAATAAAAATTTTTAGAAAATAATCCCGCATATTGGTAAAATTGACCCAGAAACATTTTTCACTTAATAGGTTCTGTGGTTTTATTAGTATAATTCTGAGTAATTCTGGCCAAATTTTTTGGCAGCTAGGGTTATTAAGAAAGCTAGATAGATATAACATGAAAATCATATTTTGTACATAACTTGAAATTTCGACTATGAAATGAAACACATTCTGCGCTCTAATTTAAAAAATCCTAATTTCTAACCTAACTTTAACGTATATTTTTTACTTTAAAAATTACACGTATTGAAATTAGTTTGATTCTTCGAAGAGATCTGATTGGATGCTAATGAAATTAAAAATCTCTGGTAATGATATTATATACTTTTTTTGAACTTTGAACGAAAATATCTCAGCAATTACCTATCTAATTCGATCAAAGTTTAGAAAAACTTAACTGCTGACTTTGTTTTAAAGTAAAGTTTTTTTATATTAATTCCATAAATCCATAGAATAAAAATAAAGAAAACTTTTGTTTATTCTAAATATGCAATGCACGATTCTTGCACGATTCTTGCGCTTAGATTGATTAGCCAACTTCGATGATCATCATTACATGAATTATTAAACATTTAAGAGCAAAAAGGGCGATTGAATCCATTTTTTTACTAAAATTTCGGGTCAGATTGGCTCATAACCCGACCCGTTCGGAGCACTACTGCTTATAAATCTAAAAGTATTATTATATAGTAATTGAAGTTAAAAAAACAGTTCAAAAAACATGAATAAAATACTTGTTTCCTATTACATATTATTCAAACATTTCATTTAGCTCGTGAATTTATTCAACATTACATATTCTTGACAATACTTAGATAAGACATTTCCTCAATAATCATTTCTTAAACATAAATTGGCCCGATTTAGAATTAGTGTTGGGTAGAATTATATATCGGGAAATTATTGTCGGGGAAATGTCTTGTCTAAGATAAGGATTGTCGAAAAATGTAATGTCAAACATGTCTTATTAAAAAAAATGTGCTGCAGAAATATCATGTCGGCATTCCAGT